GCACACCTGTGATAAATTTCAAATTTTCCAAGCACGAAGCTACAGTCATAAGTAACTCTTTTACAAAGAATTAGCAGGGTTATATTTGTCTTTACAAAAATACAGCCCTAGAAATGCTAAGGTACTGTAATGCCTCTTTCGTCTTCTTCACCTTCTTAAAAATTAGCAAATTGCTAGCTGAAAAAATTTTAAAAAATATGAAAAGCAGAACTGATCTTTTGACGATCTTGGTGTGTTGCAATTTATCAGCATACTGCTAGAATAATGCATATAAATCAGGTTGGGACATGGGTGTGGACATGGGTGTTGGCTAAGGGTGTGGAATGTATGCTGAAAGGTTGTAAGGGGCTTGAGGGCTGTAAAACTTATATTGGTTGGGAGCTGAGGCCTGTTCTCTGTAACAATTTATATGGTCATCATATAAAAAAGTCATGATACACCTTAAATATAATTAGCAACTTTAGCAACATCTCTGTCACAGAGGTAATATTGTCTGCTGGACAATGTTGATGTTCTTGGTGCTTCAACCATCATGACAACATTCTCTATAGGTACCCAGCATATGTCTTCTCTTCTGGGCCATGCAAATGAACAGCTTGGTAAGTGTGGGTGCAAGAAATTGACTTTTGCATCTTTGCTTTCAGTGTCTAATTCACCAAAAAGCCCAAGCCAAAGAAAGTCATCATACGAACAGACCAAAAAACATCCAACACGGAGCTTTTCTTTGATTTCTTCATCTTTGGTTGGCTCTCCAGTAAGACTGAACTCTGCTTCAAAGTTGGTATCAACTGATGTTTGTTTCACACCAACTTTTCATTGTGATAAAGGGATAAATTGATGGAAGCTTCTTGTTCCTGGGACCGTCCTAGCTTTTGCAAAGCGGGTTTCCATGCGTTTTCTCATCTGTGATATCTCAATTTGTGAGATGAAGAAAAATTGAATGCCAGAGATAAAATTTGAGCAAAATTCCATCATATGGGTTGCAGACAAAATTTGATTACCTTGGGGGCTTTGTAAACTGGCTTTTGCCGTGAGGCGCTTGACTGTCCCACCTATTTCATCACATGGGGGTTTCCTGTGGCTGGTTGCAAAAAATTCCACTGGCAATCAATTCCAAAATCCTCTCTATGGTAGCACAAGTTTAGAAAATTTTTGCTGTTTTTATATTGGCCTGCACAGCCATCTGAGAAGTAATGGATCTTTGATATGCCAGTGGATATTTTTTTCCTTGACGAAGGTAGCAGTACCTTCCATGACATCATGAACAAAACTCACATCATGCTCCAAGTCATCAGAAATAAAGCATAATGACTTTTCTGTTATTGCTGAAGTTTCATTGCAACGATGATATATAACCCCGGGATGCAATGAGCATTGCTGCTGATTCCAATAGGTGGGACAGTCAAGCGCCTCACGGCAAAAGCCAGTTTACAACGCCCCCCAGGTAATCAAATTTTGTCTGCAACCCATATGATGGAATTTTGCTCAAATTTCATCTCTGGCATTCAATTTTTCTTCATCTCACAAATTGAGATATCACAGACGAGAAAACGCATGGAAACCCGCTTTGCAAAAGCTAGGACGGTCCCAGGAACAAGAAGCTTCCATCAATTTATCCCTTTATCACAATGAAAAGTTGGTGTGAAACAAACATCAGTTGATACCAACTTTGAAGCAGAGTTCAGTCTTACTGGAGAGCCAACCAAAGATGAAAAAATTAAAGAAAAGCTCCGTGTTGGATGTTTTTTGGTCTGTTCGTATGATGACTTTCTTTGGCTTGGGCTTTTTGGTGAATTAGACACTGAAAGCAAAGATGCAAAAGTCAATTTCTTGCACCCACACTTACCAAGCTGTTCATTTGCATGGCCCAGAAGAGAAGACATATGCTGGGTACCTATAGAGAATGTTGTCATGATGGTTGAAGCACCAAGAACATCAACATTGTCCGGCAGACAATATTACCTCTGTGACAGAGATGTTGCAAAAGTTGCTAATTATATTTAAGGTGTATCATGACTTTTTTATATGATGACCATATAAATTGTTACAGAGAACAGGCCTCAGCTCCCTACCAATATAAGTTTTACAGACCTCAAGCCCCTTACAACCTTTCAGCATACATTCCACACCCTTAGCCAACACCCATGTCCACACCCATGTCCCAAACTGATTTATATGCATTATTCTAGCAGTATGCTGATAAATTGCAACACACAAAGATCGTCAAAAGATCAGTTCCTGCTTTTACATATTTTTTAAAATTTTTTCAGCTAGCAATTTGCTAATTTTTAACAAGGTGAAGAAGACGAAAGAGGCATTTACAGTACCTAGCATTTCTAGGGCTGTATTTTTGTAAAGACAAATATAACCCTGCTAATTCTTTGTAAAAGAGTTACTTATGACTGTAGCTTCGTGCTTGGAAAATTTGAAATTTATCACAGGTGTGCAACATGACAAAAATTTGAATAACATCTTGACAACTCGTTGCTATGACAACAACTGCTCCTCATTAATTAGTTAATTACAGACTGTGGGTGTGTCTCACAAATTTTTTCTAACTTTTTTTGAAATCCTGATACATAAATCAGTCAAAAAAATGATTTTGACATCAAGATGCTAAGTAGAGGCATTTATTTAGTATATTTAACCTCTGGGTTAAATTCAAAATGGCAGAGATTGGAAAAAATGCTGAGAATCAGCAAAATTTCAAAATGCTCTATTTTTAGAACAACAAAAGATTTTAAAGTAAAATTTTGTATATGTGTTTATCTTATCATTATCCACTTCTTCACAAAAAATGAGCAATTTCTGAGACTTTGGGTTACATGCCTGTCCTCCTTTGATATGGAATGACCCAAGTGCTGTCTGTGACAGTTTTTTTATAAAGTTGGAAGCAACGGTTTGTTGCAGTAAAATTTGAAAATAGTTTTTGAGATTTTCTACAGGGGCAGACAACTAGGGGTGGTCACCTCCTCTCCCAATATTTAGGAGGACAATGATCTTGTTCTAAAACTTAATTGTTTAACAATTAACAATTAACTAGCAAAGAAATTAACAATGGGAAATGTGATGTCATCTTATCAAAACAAAGGGTTTGCCTTTCAATATTTTATCAAGTGTTTGCCCCTTGTTTTTTGGAAACCTGGAATCTGAAATCCAAAAATTGCTTTCAGATTGTAAATGATGACTAAACTCTCATTTGAAATATTCAAAAACGGTGTATGGATAACATAAATAATATATATAAAGAGTATTTAGGATATCACCTTGTGATTTGAAAACAAGAAGGGATATCGGCATGGTTTGAGAATATTTCCGGGGGATGCAGCCCTAACTCCTTGCCCCGCCCCCTTACTGCCATGAAGTTTCCCTCACAACCCTAACTTGAAAAAAGAGGCCAGAAATTACCATTTAATAGAATCTCTTATGCCAAATTCAAGGAATGAATACTGTCTGGTATCCTTGGATACAGACAATGTGAAGAAAAATTTTTAGATTCTACTACTTGGATACAGACAAGTGTGAAGCAAACCTCACACCTATTTTGTCTTACTTAGTTGTACAAATTTTTTAAGAGGTGCCTATGTTACAAAATAGAACAAAGTTGAAGTTCACAATCAAAGATGCTAAGTATTCCAACAAACTAAAATTGCGTTAGGTTTACAATCACTAAAAGCATTTAAACAAGTGGGCTTAATTCCTTCTGTCAGTGAAAATAATTAAATATTAATGAAAGGCAAAAAACAAGCATTGTGCCTTCCATTGAAGATTACAATAACAATCTTTTCTCAGCCCAAACAATATAAAATCACCTCAATATAACCAGGACACTGTTTTCATGCTGTTATTCGAATCTCCCCCTTAAAATTCCTCAACATGTCAGTTTACAAAATGATATAATTTGTTTTCTTTAATAACGAACTGAAATTTATGTTTGGTTTGGCCAATATTATCGTCATTTGCTAAATTTCTGAAATTTTGCACACAAGAAAAGGGGTTTAGCAAAAAGTATCGTACAACCAGCTCATATAGCACACAATTTAAACTCACGCCCAGGCCGGTTTACTCGCATAATTATTTGAAACAATTCATATTTTTGTTTCAGGAAGTTATTTTCTCTTTGGAAACGGCTCCCACCCAAAAATTTATGTTCGCCAATGATACGTCAAAGGGCTGTACACCTTAATGTCGCAAAAGCGTGATTTCCAAGACAACCGTTTCATGTTGAAATATACGAGATACATAAACTCATTTGGGGGCAAAAGCCTATCCCTTTTCTACTTTCAACTTGAAATTCCAGTGCTTGCATTGGATCGCGAGGGCCTAGCACAAACAGAACACCAACCACAAACCTTAGTCGGTCTTTTTCCTGTGATCTGACCTCCTCGTCTCTTTGAAGCACTGAATTGATAATATCTTTCTCAGTAGATGTTAGCCGGCATATTGCATCTTGTAGATCGTGTTCTTCAGGAACCATGCAATTTTCTTCAGGCTCCGGTGATGCAGCCATCTCAGCGACCTAGTCGGGTCCACTGCTCACTTTCTTCGCCTCGTTCCTCTACGAAGGACTGTTGGGAAGTGGGACATCCCCAATTGGGGATTCCAGTTGCTTTGAACGCAATGCTTTAACGAGGTGAACAAAGGGCAACAGAAAATCATTTTCGAAATAAAAATCAGTAAAATCTAAAAAGAGTAGATAATATTCTTATAATTAGAAAAGGCACACTGCAATTCATCGAAATACGTACATGTGCATGTACTGTGTTTAGGTGAATAAATATCAACTTACTTAAAAAAAGAACCGAAAATGATAATTTTTTAAGCGTCCTTACAAAATTCAATTTTGCATAAACAAACTAAAAGATTAAGACATATCCAGGGCCGTAGCTACTATAGATTTTAAAAATACCTTGTTTTCCATGGCCATCCCCTTTTGTTTCTATCATTGTTCCATTCAATGTACAATATTATCCGAACTAAATTTTTATTTACCCCTGATAATAGTCAGCACAAGTTATCAGCAACGGATAATTATATTCTTGAGAAGTTTGGCGGCCTTCACCAAAGTTTTCTGTCCGTTTTTGGAGTCCTGTAAAAGAAACTTCGAAAGGAGCTGTTTCCATTCATTACATAAACATACATGTGCATCGAAACACAAATCCCTACTCTTCTCTGATGCTCTTTCAGGTTGGTCTTACCTAATTTTAACACTTTAGCAAAAAATATTCCAAACTCTGAGTTATCTTCATTTTTCTAAATGTAAACAGTTTGTAATTCTTCAATTCTATCAAAGAATCTGAGACCTGCCATTAGCCTCATAACCAAACTAGAATCCAATATTAATTTTACTTAGAACTCTTGCAATTTAATTTCCTGACAATATAAGATCATGGATGCTCATTCTACGCAAATTCGATTACTCGCAACAGGGACCCTATATTACAAATGGATGAGGCTAAACAATTTTTGAGTGCTAAACATGCCTGCCTTGGGCTAGCCCCCTTCCCCACGTAACCGTGGTCTATGCCCTCTCCATTTCAGGGGGTTACTGCCCCCTTACCCAAAAAGGCTAGTGTTGCCTTGAAATTAGAATTACTGATCATCTCCTCTTGCTATACTGGTGTCGGTTTTGATACCGTGATTGCATCTCGAATTACTAGTTCCTTTCCTCCACATTCGCAATACTCTCACAAGTAGAAACTTCCATAAAGGCGACTAATGCTTGTGCACTACCTTCTAGCATCTGGCCACGCCCTCTCATTTGGCTTTTTATTCCAAGACCTGCAGGCCTAAACTACCACCACGTCACCACCCCCTTATTAAACCACGCACTTGCTAGCGTGTAAGCAATGGTTGGTATTGCTTAGGTCGATAACATCTTTTTGGGTCCTTTCAATCCATTGGTAACTCATCATTTACTAATATATTGCTCGATGAGATAGGTCTACTTCAAATAGAATATCGGCCACAGTGACTTTCTAAAAAATTCCGAAATAAGTATCTCTTTGAATAAGGACTTCCCAGCTAAATTACATATTAAAACTCGTTAGATAATATTGATAAAAAGAACAGATATTACTATGGCGTCTAAATCATATTCCGAAAATTTCTAGCACTCTAAATTAAACTAATATTTCATTTGTCTTAAAATCATCTGATAAAGCTATCAACTGTTATTCTACCGCAATCATTCTATATCTACTCGCAATAAAGTTTTAAATGAAAAATCAAACTAGAATTTCATATCCAGATGTTCTTGCAGCATCGATAAACAGTCCTGCCAAGAGGGGGGATTTCCCCAGGCCTCAGCAGAAAGGGGGCCTAAAAAGTTATAACAATCACGGTTTTAATGATGTTACATTTCTTTTTGCCCTAGGCTCCAGAAAAGCTCTCAGCTGGCTTGGTGACAAATAGAATGGATCCAAGAACTAAATTTTTTGTGAGTTCTTAATTTGTAAGCAAAATTTGATTCAGAATGACATGAAATACATCCTTTTTTAAAATGAGTGTAAGTTGCTTTTGCAGGATGGGGAGAGATGTGACATAGACTTTGGTACCTAGTAAAGTTCACATATTTACCATTCAACCTCTTACTTCAAACTATGGCTACCTGCAAGCTCACCTGCACAATTCACTATGCATCAAAAATCTAATATTGCATTATTTAGGACTAATTAATCATTACTTTACAAAATTTATACCAGGCTTTTAACAAATAAAATTTTTGCCTGATTCAAGAGATTCTGAAAATTGGTTGCCAGTTTCGAGAATTTCTGAACTGTCAAATTGGGCTGGAGATGATGGTTAATAGCTTGTTAAATAGAACTAGTTCACAGGGAGATGGTATTCAGAGCAGATAACATTAAATGGTCTCCTCCCAATTGAAATATGGTATTAAAAAGCAAAGTATTATTGAAAGGGCATATGATAGGGGTTGAAATGTACATGAATGAAACTTGATATAGTAATGAATGCGATTTTGAAAAATGTGGATAAATAATGCATTTTAAATAAAAATTGATGAACCCTACAAAAATATATACTAAGAAACATAATATATAACAAAATATTCATACCAATACAAAAACAAAAAATGAATCACATATTTGTTGTACACAGCATTAAAGGCTTGTTCACAAAGATGATATCAAAATTTGAAAATGCAGCATCAATGATTACTACTGGAAGGAAAATGAATGCCACAACGAACTTCAATGGCATGTTTTGGGACCAACATTGAGACACACTTGATACCTGATGTTGCAATCGGCAAAGGACAACCAGTTTTCCATGTGTCACTTTTTGGGTCATAAATTTCAACATCAGAACATTCAGATGCATCTACAAAATCTTCATCATCTCCAGCATTCATGCTTTTTATACCTCCAAATACGTATATCTTGTTGTAAAGTACTGCAATACCGGTAAATGAGCGGGGCACAGATGCATCTGCAATGCGATGCCACTCATCAGTGCTGATGTTGAAAAACTCTCCTGAGCAGTAGAAAGACCACATTGCATACTCACCACCAACCACATAGATTCTATTTCCAATAACAGCACCACTGGCAAATGCACGTGAGGAATTCATGGGAAAGATTTTTGCCCATTCACCTAGGTATGGATCATATCGCTCAACACTTGCAAGGGCCATTCCATCTGGACCATATCCACCAATAGCATAAAGCTGCAGATGTGACACAACACATGCCCCACGTCTTGGCACTTTCAATTTCTTAACAGTGGTCCATCTGTCTGCAGCTGCATCATATTTGAATACTGAATCTGAACAAAGACCTTGACTTCCTGACCCCACAACATATATTTCGTTGTTCAAAACTCCAGCTCCATGTGCCATGGTTGGCTCAGGCAAATTAGCACTCCTAGTCCATTTATCCAGGGCAAAATTGTAAAATTCTACTGACTTCAATGTCTTTCCATTGACATCTCCACCTATGGCAAAAATGCTGTGGTCTACAACTGCTAAGCCAAAATTGCTTCTTTCTTCATGCAAAGGGGCAAGTGGGTACCAAAAATCAACATCTGGTACATAGCAAAGTGCCTCTTTGGAAGCAAGTTCATCTTGCACTCCTCCACAAGCAACAACTATCTTTGTTACATCAAGTGACTGTCTTGGTGACGCTTGGGGACTTACTACCAGTGATCTGCGATCCGTAAGGCATTGAAAGTTTATAGCTGTCAAGACAAGTTCTTGGCAATCTATGTTCTGCATTATTGTTGTGTTCGAGGCAATTTTGTCAAACAAATAGTACTTATCAATTAGCAAAAGCCTGACATTCTCCATGAGTCTCAGAAGATACTGAAACCTCTCTTCTTGATCATAATCAATCCAAGCAATAACAGCTTCATATACTTTCTCTTCCTTCTTCACATTCACTTTATTGTTGCTGATGATATGAATAACTTGATCTACATTGAGACTTTTGAACTCATCTGAGTGGCTGACGTCTGCAAAGTATTTATAAATAAAGGCATCTGCACTCTTTTTCAGTGTCTTGCAATTGAACTCATCAGCTAGTGAAGATATGGACAGGCAGTTAGATGCACAAAGCTTCTTTTCATAAAACCTACAAACCAGATCTTTCAAATTCGTCATTTGTAAAATATCTGATGCAGCAATCAGCAGTCTAACATTGTCTTTGTGTACACATATTTCTCCCAAATACATAAACTGAAGGATGTCTTCCATGATTGATGGGGATATATGCTCCTTCAACTGCATCTTAACCCCTAGAAATAAGCAGATTTTAATGTTACTATTGACACAACTTCAAGGTAAAGAAGTTATATGATGTAATGTCATAACATACATAACATAGCATAATAACATAGCATAATAACATAGCATAATAACACAGCATAATAACATATCATAATAACATAACATAACATAACATAACATAACATAACATAACATAACATAACATAACATAACATAACATAACATAACATAACATAACATAACATAACATAACATAACATAACAAATGCTGTAATGTAGCCTGTTACAGATCACTACAATTCTAAGTTTATTGCTTTTGAGTAGCAGGAGATGCTTCTAAAAAATATGCAAATTGAAAACATTTGAGGCCATGTGTGATAAGAGCGAAACCCAGCATGCCCTGTGGTTGAAACAAAAAATGCTTAGTAGAAATTTGTTGACAGGAAACATTGCATTGAAAAACAATTATGATTATGATATCATAATACATTTGCTCATTGCAAGTTATTCGCTAATCATACTTCTATATCTTATTGGATATAAATATTGGCTTAACTCAAAGATGAAGAATTGCAAGAAAGTTTTATAACAACCAAAAATAGCAACAGATTCATTTCATAGTACATAAATGACTCAATCTTGCTAGTTTTATTTGTGTTTGTCAAGCATGTATAATTTCAAAAATAATCCCAGATACAGACTTTTTATATGCATAAAGTTGCGAGTATCAAGGCTCCAAACTGCAAACATTTAAGAACAAATAAACATTATTAGCCAGGTGAAATCCAAAAATAATTAAGATTTTTTTGTGTACATCTGAGTTTCTATCTCTGGTTTTAAACATTATTCATTTTTTTACCAACTTATGCAAGCTCTAGGGGAAATTTCAAACATATGCAATGAAAATTGTTTGTTTCATTCAAAATAGAGCCAGTTAAGAATAATTTAAGAACATAATTTTCTCCAGAGGTGGAAAAAGTATCAGAACCTGGGAACGTAGTTCCCAGAAATTTTTCTGGATGGAAATATTAGCAGAAAGTTTCACAGAAAAGTTTTGAAGTGTTAAAGTAAATGTAAAAATCTGGTGACAAGAGTTAAGTCAAATCAGCATTTAATGTTATTTCAACTTGCCTGTAAGCATCTAAATATGAGCTGCCAATGGACTGTTGGGTATAGCCTCTTTCCATTGGAAAGAAATTCTTTGTGCACATTCACCATCTCACAAAAATCTCAACCACTCACCATCAAAATTTTTTTTGGCAGCTGAGCTTTTTAGACAAACCATTGTTTAGACTGAGATTAATATAGGGACTGGAATCTACTTTCACGGAAATTATTTCTTGTACTATGGTGTGAGCAGCATTGATCATAAGTTAATATGCTTGGTTAAAGTAATTTGGTGCATATTAGGACTCCATTTCAACCATATATTTCTTCACACTTGTCAAAGAATAGGCTGTGTTAAGCTTTCTCCGTAAAATGCACCATACAATTCAAATGATTTTGCCCCTGATTCTTCTGAAACTATGTTTAGAAATTATTGCCTTCTGATTTTGGTTTTTCCATCCCGATGATTGACTAAATGCATAAATTTCTGGCTAAAGTTGATTTCCATCTTATGTGCATTTATGCATCAAGTAAAGCCATATCTAATATGTTGAGTTAGGCCTACTCAGAGTCAGTTTCATATAAACGTCTTGAATTTCTACAGCTAAATACAGTATTGTAGGCACAAACAGAAAGTTTGTTTGTCTACCCCTTGAAATCTTGCAGAAAGTTTTTAGCCAGATACTTAGGTTCCCAGAAAGAAAAAAGTTTTTTCCACCTCTGATTTTCTCAACAGTGAACATCAAATTTTACAGACTCAGTTTGGAAGAATATAAAATTGAAGGGTTTTTCAGTTTTGAGGTTGGTATGCCTGCAACTTTTTGGCAGTTTATCAATGGAAATAGTGAATCTTGACTAGTAGCTTTAAACTTTCTACCTTTGAAGCAAACTTGCCAGGACATATTTTGATATATAAGTCAGCCTGAAGTATACTCTAGGTAGCATATAAAGAAAAAGAAGCCAATATAAAAATTAATGAATTGTGAGCATGTAAAGTGATGGGGATTGTGCATGCTTCTGCTATATGCAGATGTGTTTCTTGCAGCTCTTAGAAAACAGTAAAAGGGTTTTATTGGAGAGTCATTCTGACAGTAGCATTCTGACAGCCTGTTGCCAGGAAAATTACTTGTGATGTGAGTTGGAATTATCGGTACCAAAAAGGTTGTACCCAATACTAAATCCCTTGCATCCACATTTGATGAATTTCAAATTACCCTCTCAAAATACCTTTTCGATGTAGTCACCTTATCAGAGACCTGGCTAGCTAGAAACAAAGCTCTCAATAATTTTGTGCAAATTCCAGGGTATGAGCTTGTAACTGAAAATTGCAATAACATGAAGATGGGGAGTTGGGTTCTACATCAAAGATTCAAAATTAAGGCCTTATGGATTGGGCTACCTGGACAAATAGAAACAGTCAGCATTTGGCATGGGTCATCTATTGCTTCAAGAAGCTATTACCTTTAAATGACTGGTTTGAAAAATTTCAGGAAACAATTGCCTACATCAAGTCCATATGGGACAGGCCATTCTTAATAGCAGGGGACGTGAACATAAATTTGATGTCTCATGAGAACACAAAATGTCATAAATACCCTAGCATGATTGACCAGTTCGATTTCCTACAAATGGTTAAGGCTCCAACAAGGATCACCCAAAACACGTCCTCTTTAATCGACCACATACTAATAAGCCATCCAAGCTTGATAAAATTCACAGACGTTTTGCTTTGCCATGGTATCAGTGATCACTATGAACCATATGCCCGATAACTGTAAGAATTCTAAGATACGAGCCACACTACAAACTGATACGAGATGACAAAACATTTGACCATCAATCTTTTGTGTGTGATGTAAGTCAGCTTCCATTCGGTCTTGTCTATTTCATTGCAGATCTCTCCAAAAAGATAAGAGTCACCACACCTCCTGAACCTTGGAAACATGATCCAGAGATAAGATATTTGCAAAAAAATGAGATGAATGTCGTGTAGCAGTCTGCCAGTGGCAAGCCTTGGGAGACATTTCGAGAAATTCACCCTTGTGGAACAAGTTTAGAGAAAGTAAATGTGCCGTAAAGAAAGCAGTGAGAAAAGCCCAAGCTACTTTCTATCGTAAGGCACTTTCAAAGCAAAACAAAAAAGAGGGTGTGGAAAGTCATTCATAGTGTCTTACAACCCCCAGCTAAGCGTTCAACAGTAAGTCCATTTGTTTTGAATAAATATTTTGCACCGTTTCCTGTTGTGGAAACAAAGCAGTTCATCGATGATCTCCCAAATAAAAGACAAAATATCTTTCTCCCTCTGCCAAACCACCTACAGTAAAGTATTAAAACAGTCGAAACTGATACGTAGTGATCTATCAACAGGCCCAGATGAAATTCCAATACATTACATAAAGCTAGGGTGATATCACATGCTCTCCACTCCCTCATATCATCAATACATTCAATTCATTAAAGATAACAGCTTCCCTCGCTGTGGAAGATGGCAAGAGTTGTGCCAATAAACAAAATGCCATCTCCGACTGAAAGCTCACACTATGGCCCCATTTCCATACTTCCCGCTCTTTCAAAGATCTTCGAAAGAATAGTTTGCAATCAAGTCATCAATTGCATAGAAAGACTCAAAATTTACAAAGATACCCTCACTGGTTTCTCAATGGTTCTGCATTACTTAAATTGAAGAGATGACATAAAGAGAGCCATGAACGCCAGCGTACT